CTGGCTCAAGCGGCTTTCAATAGTATCAAGCTTTTCAAATTTTTTAAGTACAGCTTCAAGCTTCGACCCCACACCTTCCGCCATTTCTAAAGCTTCGAACACTTCGTCAGTCTCCGATGCAGTTGAGTGTGCCTTTGCTTTGTCTTTCGATTTTTTTTCATCTGGAGATGGCAAGCTTTTGACCGGTTTTTCCGTTTGTCCAGCATTAAAAAACTATAAATTTCCACGACGATTCAGGGAGCTCGCCAAAGCAATACGCACACGTGTTGACGAGGACGGAGTTGTATCTCCTGTTTCCCTGCACAGAGGTCTGTTTACCGTTGGTGCTTTGGACAACCTGGATCATAATCCCAGTTCACTACACCACAAAGCTCTTTCCATGGTACTGGTATTACTATGTTCCAATTTCCATCCCCAAACAAGCCGGGTGAATGTAGACCGCCAGTTACGGTTCCTCCCCCCGTGAAAGGAACGCATGTCCAGCTCCCTGAAACCTACGCTACTGTCCATGGCAAAGTTCTAACACTGTTGTCCCAGAGGTAAAGGTGGAGCAACAAAGGTCTGCCTGGATAAAGCCCTAGAAGCGAAAAATAAATGGGTGCAGATCTCCACGCGACTTCTGAAAAAAGACGAAATAGAGAAAGGAGACGTTATTGCATGGGCAGCTTATCACGCCTCTCAACAAACGCCGACACATGGGCTTCCAGCTTTGTGTGCAATGCTTCCTCTCTTCTACACCTGCAATGATTAAGCACGGTATAGATGTAATGAAGCAAGCGACAATTTACTTAACCCTTAACCCTGGTCAGATTCCAGTCATTACGTTTGATCAGCTACTCCTCGCCCTGGCAAAGCTGATCCAATGGCAGTTTCCAGCCACTCATGGCGAACGACAGTATGTAGCCACGCTGGGAGGGTTGCACACAGAGATGGCCCTTTGGAACGTACTTGGAGATTTACTGGAAGGCTCTGGGTGGACATCAGCTCTATCAGAAGCTGAAGTATCTTCTGCCGGGACTGCAAAGTCGATGTTGAACGCAGCACACCTCACCCGTACCAGACACGCCCACCAAGTCACACGGTTAACCTTGCATATCCTTCAACGTGAAGCTTTCTTAAGTTGTAATGGGTCTGAACACAAAGAAACAGCTGAAGCCTGGAGATAACAGATGATAGCTAAAAGTCCAACATTTATGGGAGCTTATTTTGCGATAAGAAACTCTTATTCTCATCTTTGTCCGGGCTCGCAGGGAGAAAAACGTTCCTTTGTATGTGAACGTTTTGGAAGAACTAGCACTTTTGCTCTTTGCCTTAGACCATGTCAATTACGCAAGGTGGCTACCCGTTCATATAAGAGATATGAAATCTTTTCCTCGACCAATCAAAGAAGAGTTTCAGATTAAGGGCAACTGGGTTTTTTCAAAAACGGCCAATACATTCTCTGGAATTCTGTTCGATCACGTGAAAGGCTCGGGGGGTTGTATTAGTCTTACAGAAAATCCTCTTGCCTACAGATGCTGGATGCTGTAAGGACCAGAGCTGTCAAGACTCTGGAAACAGTTCGAGAGGGAACTCTTTTCTGATAACGATCCAGATAATCCCCAAAACGTTCTGAATCACGAGAAAGGTCTATCAACGTAAAAAACCTTTCAAAGGCAGGTCACTAGTCTCTGGAGCCCTTTCTTGGCCGATTTTTCAGAACTTGTATTCTTAGACAGTCGAGATTGCGCTGATGAATCGGCCATAGCTGCATTGTACACCCTTGAAGACACAAGCAAGAAGCAATACAGTTACTTTGTCAGAGAGGTACTGGAAGAACGAAACCGATCTATTCATAGCCAGCACTCTTCAAGAAACCGAGTCCAAAGATTTGGCCGAAGAAAGGAAAGAAGATTAAAGCTCATGAAAATAATGTGCCTCTTCTTGGTCATTTGTATATCTCAATGCAGAGCCGTGAAGGGGATTTGGAAGAATTCTTTCCCCATGAAGTTCAATCATTCCCTCCCTCAAAGTCTGAATTGATGAAAAGCGTTGAGCCACTACACGAATCTATGCCACCTGACTATTTTTGATCCTACTTAATATTCGGAAAGAACATCTATATTTTGGATCTCGTCAGAATATTAGTGTGTGACATAGTTGCCATGCCCGGAAAATTAATTCTTTTCCCCGTAAAGGACAATTTAACAAGTCAGGGAATTTCAGTATCGACCAGCGAAAATTTATGAATGAATGTCGCCAAGGATTGAGCAAAATTGGAAATGGTAAAACAAAACCTTCTGTGGTTAGTACTTCAGATGAAACTACTCACTATAGCATTTGTTTGACTACTAACAAAAACTTGCACTGGGTATCAGCGGGAGAAGTTTGGGCCAAAAATTGCATTTTTTGGGGACAATATTCTCCTTCAAAATTGGAGTTTTGTTGGGTAAATACTTCAGAAAGCAGACAAAATTAAAAATCTGTTTAGCTGATAGCAAAATATCATCGTTCCTCTCTATAAAAAAGGAGATTAACTACAATTCACTTTCCAATTTTAAAGCCAGTGTTGAAACGCGCCCTCCCTAGTTACACAATTTACTCCAATTCTCTCCCCACTTCCAATTTATGGGCCTCCTCCTGAGCTTTGCGAGATTCTGCAATACACGTATTTCTAGTTTAAATATGGTTTAATTTGGTGAACAAAAATACTTTTTCTTTTTTTACGTTCCTCTTTTCAAAAAGCACAAACGTCATGAAACCATTTTCTCAATATGTTCCTCGCAAAAGCCAAATTTACAATTTTGTCACACGTGGATCATAACGACCTGCAAACTCGACGGCAAAGTATATTGCAGAGAACAATGAAGACCAGTAGCTTTAAAGAAATAGGAGCGAAAATCAAGATAAAGAATATTTTGTCGGTGCGTCTCACTTCGCAGACGATTTTAATAGGGCTTAATAGGTCGTGGGATTTGTTTGTTTTTCGGAAGTGCGTCTCAGTTCGACTTTTTACCGTCAAAACCTTGCTTTTCCCTGAAATCTACACCTTTGAACTCGTATTACACTAAGGAAAGCCCACAGTGAATTGGTTCTTTCCCCGCCGATCGATGTGACCGATGGACCACATCAAAGACTGCTCAGTTTCAGCCCAGCTTCATACATCGATCGGATTAACACTGAAATAATACAGCATGACTCCGAAATTATCATTAAAGCCATTTGTTCTCAAATGTACATTTGAATTCGTGATTAATACAGCTCCACAAGCTTCAAACAGTGCGTATGGCAAAGAAGACTGCTTCAAAGTTAACAATTTTACCGAGCCAACCATTCCGCAACAGCGTGACCTCTGGGAGCTGACTCCTCGCGCAAGAGGTGTTCGAATCTCGCCGTGGGTTTTTTCTTTTCTTTGTACAATTTCGTTTTTGATCATATTTTTTCCCTTTGGTTTGTTTCCTTGTTTCTCACTGCTGACCCTTAACAGCTTGGCGAGGATTTTGCGATAACGTGTTTCTAGTCAAATAACTGTCTTCAGCATTTTTTTCCGTTCTCTTTCATGAACTCAAGGTTGAAAATCCCTGAAAACTGAAAGTTTCAAGTTTCTTATCGTGTGAAAGGTCAAATAAACAGTATGAATCATAGCAGATAGGATGCTTGGAAACAAGGTGGGTAGGCACCTCTTCCCTGATGTCGCGTTTCTCCTGCTCTTCCTGCTATGCCTGAACGTCTTCAACTAGCTGTTGCCGGTGTGCTTTGCTTCTTCGCGAGGCCACTAGAATCCCTGTACTTGACCCTTTATGAGACAACGGTTGTGTTCTATTGGGACCAACCGATTTTGGTTGGTTCGGTTAATTGGGTTTTTTTTCGTGTTCTATTACGAAAAACCGTTTTCGATTGGTTTGGTTGATCAACTTTTTCAACCAGTTTCAAAATTTTCTTAGGTTTCAGTTGATCTTTATTTGTTTCGTTTTGCTTGTTAAGACAATCCTTTTGATCATACACATCATTATTCATATTGTATAAATTTGCAGTTAGCAATAAACAATATTCACGATAAAAAATACGGCAAAAAACATGAAATGAAATGTAGCAAAACAAGTACCCAACCTGAACACTGAACAACTCTGTTTAGTTGAAAGGGAAATATGACGTCATCTCCATCCTTGCAGTATTCACAAATGAATCCTTTCGCAAGGCAAAGCTGTAGGAAATTGGCAATGTAATATTGTACAACGTAATACAGTCGAACCGCTCTACAACGGCCGAAAGTGACCGTTGTAGAGAGGCGGCCATTCATGGGAGGTAGTGGTGTTAAAACAAATTTTGTTTTACATAGTACAACACGTATATTGTTCCTAAGTTAAAGCTTACTGTATCCCAAAATTGTAATCCAATTACATTCTAGTATGTAGAGAGAAAAAGACAAAAAACTTAAATAATGTTTTGAATCAAAAAATTAACCTGACAAAACAAGAAAGGTTCGCAACATTCGCTACAATTAGCATAGACAGTTTATGATTACTGCAGCAGTGTAAATGGAACACAGTTGAAATAAGATGCAGTGATTAAGAGCCCATGACTGTAAATATCGAGAATCGCTGGCCAGGCTAAAAAAATCGAAAATTCTGATAATTTTTCAGAAAAACCCCTTAGGGAAACTATCTTCGAAAAAAATATTTTTAACTTTCAAGAATCGATAGTTTTCGAGAAAATGAGGAAAAACGAAAATAGCGGTATTTACCTACTTAATTATGCAAAAATTAGAGTAAAAATGACCTACTTTATCGCGTCTGTACCGAGGCAAGATTCAAAGCTATAAAACAAAAATATTTTTGTTTAAAAGAATTCTATCTTTTCTTTCTATCCATGGTACGTTTTAAACCATAAACTTAATCTTGAATTTTTTATGGTTTTTTAAAAACTACCATCAATGGCACTTTTTAAAATGGCTAAAAAATGAGCGACTTCAGAGGCAAAAAACTCACCTTGGTATGTGTGATACCTAGCCAAAATGTACA